CCCCATCTTCCTTCCGAGGAGTGGCTGGTGGGTTTGAACCGCCAGCCTTCTGGTTAGCAGTTAAGTGCCTTAGGCACTATGCTACCAGAGCTCCCATAGCAACCCTAGGCACTCCTAAATATTGGTTTGTGTCTTGAAAACAAAAGCAGAAAATCTCGCCACCAAGTGGGATCCGACTCCCAGCCCCCACGTAGAGCAGAGCTGCGCTCCCCAGGGTTTTGGTGCCTGGTCTTTCACAGGTAGATCAGCAGGCCTTTCTTCTGAGGTGCCTCGGGGTGGACTTGACCCTCCAGTCTGTTGGTTAGCAGCTGCGTGTTTAATGGTCGGCACCGCCCAGGCTCCGGTTGAATCTAACGCCTATTTTACAGATGAGAACAGTGATGCTCAGACAGACTAGGTCCTTGAGCAGGGACCAGTGCTTCTGGACTTAAGCGCTCCTGCTGCCTCTTACTGGCCTTGAGAATGAAGTGTAGTTACCTCTGGAGCTCTGGGACCTCGTCCAGAACCAGAGCCAAGAGTCTGTGCCCTTCCAGCTTCAGGGCTGCTGGGAGGACACTGTGGGGCAAGGCTGGGAATGGCCGCCTGTGGTCCAGGCCTGCCCCAGGCCCAGAGCTGTGCTGGGCACCTTCCCCCAGGGAAGCTGTGGTCAGCAACGGCAGGGCCTCCTCAGGCCTGGGCAGACCTGGCCCCGTGGGATCTGAGTTTGTAACACATGAGGGTTGGGGTCTGAGGCTGTTGACCCCCAGCAAGGCCCACAGAGTGGGAGCCGGGAGCTAGACTGACCACAGTGTACATAGTCCCTTCCAGATCTTGCACTTCAGGCTCAGAAGCAAAGCTAGCCAGCTGGCCGTGAACCTAAGGGCCTGACGTGCAGGACGCCGGTGCTGCTGGGAGCAAGGGCCACTGATTCCTCAGGCCTCCTTAGCAAGTCCCCAGGTCTGGCCCCCAGACATCTCCAGGCAAGAACCTCAGGCCCCAAGGGGGAGGGACTTAGCCAAGCCACCTTGGCAGAGAAGCACAGACCAGAACGAGAAGGTGCTCTTGGCTCCAGGATGCTTCCTTGGCCCCAGAGGGAGCTGGGAGTGGGGGCCAAGGGGGGCTTCTCTGCCTCTCTCTCCTCCCACAGAATGTGCTGCTCGACTACATACGGCTGGCCATTGACAACATGGCCCAGCGGTGTCACCCTGCTGCTGGTGGCCTGCCCAAGAGCATGGACCTCTTCTCCAAGCTCGACCTGATTCAGGTGAGGAGGGTGGCCATGGCCACAGTTGTTTCAGCCCCTGTTGACCCTCCCCGCAGCTGTGTGGCTGCTGGTGCAGTAGGGCACCGTGGACCCTGGGGCTCTATCCGTGTCTCCACAAACCTGTGACGAGCACCCATCTGGTGCGAGGTGCAGCATTTGCTCTGCGTGGTCTTTCTGTGTGGCCCTCACCCTCTCACATGTACACACACACACACACACACCTCACAGTGTACACACACCCATACGGACACACGGTGTACACACTCATACAGACACTCACATATGCTCCCTGCACACCTAACAATACGCACAAAACATACACACACCCTGCACCCATGCACCCAGGTACCAGTTCCTGGTCACAAACACGGAGGTCTGGCCACACTTTACACACACACGTGTGCACACAGGGAGGGACACGTCAGTGACTCTGAGGGAGCCTTCTGCAGAGACCCTCGGTCAATTCAACAGAACGGCCCTTCCTCATGCCCCTGTCCTCATCGGTTAGGACGCTGTGGCCACTGCAGAGCTGTGGTCACCAGCAACAGAAAGCACGTGCTCAGCATGCCTTCCCCGACAGCCCAGGCCTTTTATTGTTTCTTTAATAACAGCTTCATTGAGGTACAGTTCACACACAAGAAGTTATAAACTTCACCTTTTTTTGTAATTTCCTTTTTTTAGGAGACAACTTTTTAAAAAATGTATTGTGGCATAATATACATAACACAAAATCCGCTGTGTTAGCCATGTTTTAAATGACATCAATCACATGTGCCGTGTTGTGCCACCAGCACCACCACCCACGTTCAGGGGGACTCAGTGCCCCCTGCGAACAGCTGGATATGTCTCACATTTTTCTCAAAAATTAACAAGTTGTTTTTCTTTACTCGCAATAGGTTGTGAGAGGAAAACAAATAATAATTTCTTGAAAGTAAGAAATGAAGGGCCTCTCAAACAAAGTATAACAAGAAAGCCGACAGTGATTTCCTGTCTTCTGGCAGAAGCTCAGAAATGCCTGCACAATTTGCTATTTTCCTAGAGAGCTTGCTCAGAGCCTTGTCCCTGTACATCATTTCAACACTTTCCACAGGTACAACTCAGTGGCATTAATTACGTCCACTGTGTTGTTCAGCTGTCACCACCGTCTGTTTCCACATTTCCCATCACCCTTAACAGGAGCACAGTGTCCTCTGAGCCCTGAGTCCCCTTTGTCCCTCCTGCCCACCCACCTCTGGTTGCTAGGTACCGCAGAGTCGGTTCTGACTCACAGCCACCCTGTCTGTGCACAACAGGACAAGAGGCTGCCCAGTCCTGACCTCTGAACCACACATCACCTCTGGCCTCCACGCACTTGCCTGTGCTTGGTATTTCATACGTGGGAACTCACAGTCTGTTTTAAACTTTGAAGTATCCTCATCAGGGTTTTCACTCACACACCCATCACTACAGTCTCATTTCAGAAGATTTTCATTTTACCCCAAAAAGAAATTGTATATCCGTTAGCGAT